TAATTGTAAGGCTCGAGAGTCGTAATTTTCAAAAATTGTAACGTTATTTTTGTCAAAACATTGGCTCGCGAATTGTTGTTTGACTCGCAAATAGTCATTCGTCCCGAATGCATACACATGGCTCTGAGCCTCCTCACCCTCCCTTCCCAGCCAGTGTGCCATTGTTTACCAGTGAGCAACGGTCCCCTCACTTGTTCATACGAAATATTTCATAATATTCCATTCATTTTAGTGCTTGCAACTGCTAAATAAGCTGCCATGGCTTCAAAGAAAGCTCCTAGTGCCAAGCCTTTGGTAAAGAAGGTGAGAATTACGATTGAATTCAAGAAAAACATCATTGAACAATATGAAAGTGGCATACGTGTGGCCGAACTGGCCAGGATGTACGTATAAGAAACCCCCATACAACCATAGCTTCCATCGTGGCCAAGAAAAAGGAAATCAAGGAAGCTGTTGTCGCAAAGGGGGTATATGACAAAAATGAGATCACCAGTACTTGAAGAGGTTGAGAAGTTATTATTGGTGTGCATAAACGAGAAACAATTAGCAGGAGATAGTCTTATGACGTCAATTATTTGTGAAAAGGCTAGGCAGTTGCATGATGATCTCGTAAAGAAATTGCCTGCAATGAGCACTGATATTTGTGAATTTAAGGCCAGCAAAGGCTGGTTTGAGAGATTTAAGAACTGTAGTGGCATACACATTGTGATAAGGCATGAAGAGGCTACCAGTTCTGACAAAATTGCAGCTACAAAATTCATAAGTGAATTCAAGGAGTACATAGAGGCTGAAGGATTGAAACCTGAACAAGTGTTCACTTGTGACGAAACAGGCCTCTTCTGGAAGAAAATGCCAAAGAGGACCTACATTACTCAGGAGGAAAATGGGACTAGCCAGGACACAAGCCTATGAAAGACAGGCTGACGCTCATGTTCTGTGCTAATGCAAGTGGGGATTTCAAAGTGAATCTGTTACTAGTGTACCATTCTGAAAATCCTAGAGTATTCAGGGAAAACAATGTTATGAAGAGTAAATTGTGTGTGTTTTGGAAAGCTAATAATAAGGCCTGGGTCACGAGGGAAATTTTCGTCGAGTGGTTCAATGAGGTGTTTGGCCCTAGTGTGAAGAATGACCTTCTGGAAAAGAAATTGGATCTCAAGTGCCTCCTGCTAATGGACAATGCACCTGCTTTTCCTCTAAACTTGGATGACCTAATTTGGGTTCATCACAGTAAAGTTCTTGCCCCCTCATACCACTCCTCTCCTCCAACCCATGGGCCAGCAGATCATTTCAAACTTGAAAAAACTCTACACCAAAGCAATGTTTCAAAGGTGCTTTAATGTGGCCTCAGACACTCACTTGACCCTAAGAGAGTTTTGGAAAGATCACTTCAGTATCCTCCATTGCATAAGCCTTATGTGTAAGGCTTGGGAGGGAGTGACTACCAGGACTTTGAATTCTGCTTTGAGAAAATTGTGGCTAGATTGTGTCCACAAGAGGGATTTTGAAGGGTTTGTGGCTGACCCTGATGAGCCTATGACAGTTGTGAAATCTATAGTGGCATTGGGGAGTTGGATGGGGTTGGATGTGAGTTTGGAGGATGTGGAAGAGTTGGTGGAGGACCACTACGAAGAACTAACCACTGAGGAGCTGCAAGAGCTTCAGCAGGAGCATAAACAGACTGTAGCTCAGAATATTTCTGCAGAGGAGGAGGAAGAGAGATGGAAGAAGTTACCTTCTTCAGAAATTAAGGAGATTTTTGAAATGTGGGGTAGGATAGAAAGATTTATGGAGAAACATCACCCTGACAAGGCTGTTGCAAGCCATGTTGGCAACTTGTACAATGACCAAGTCTTGGACCATTTTAGGGAAGTTTTAAAGAGATGTCAGAAACAGAGCTCTCTGTACAAGTATTTAGTGCCATAGGTGTACAGTGACTCTCAAGCTTGTCCTAGTGGCATTAAGAACAGATAAGTAACCCCAGAAAAGGACTTGGTACCTGAGGTGTTGATGGAAGGGGATTCCCCTTCCAAACAGTAACTAATCCAATCTCTCTCCTCCTCCAGTCTTCTATACACTAAGAAGAATCGCCAATAAAGGTAAGTGTTATGCTGTTACTGTTTCATTCATCATGTCCCATTGTATTGTGTGTACTACATCTATATCTCAGGTAAAAACAAATTTTTTTGTTTTAATACCTCTGGATGTCTGGAATGGATTAATTGTATTTACGTTATTTCTTATGTGGAAAATGGATTCGAAAATCATCAATTTCGATAATAGTCACACTTCCAGGAACGGATTAATTAGGAAAAACGAGGGCCCACTGTATTATCTTTTATTATTTGTTAACGAACTGATTGAGCTTATTACTTATGCCAAGGGTCTGGAACACATCTGCAGCTTACAATGAGGGAAACTTGTTTTTCAAATGTGTTAATAAATTTCTGACTCATTAATCTTTCATTCTAATACAAAGTAGCTGGTGGAACTGATATAGTGACACCAATAAGTTGTCGGTAAAAGGCACACATTCTCAGATTAAAACATTTATTAAGACTTGTTTTGCTGTGAATGACTTCTGCAGTCCTGATTAAGAGGAACTAGAACAAGTATTATATGTATAGTGCAAGAAGTCAGGTGAGCATAGGTTAAAAGTGGAATAACCTATTACAGGTAACATAGTGGGTAATCTTTGAAAATAGGTTGAACAGATATACAAGCAAGGTCAGTAGGCATTTTGCATTGCTCCCTGGTACAGTTTCGTGTCATCTAACAGTGTTATTGATGTTATGTAGCAGTTGTTTGGCCACTGTTCTGGATATGCTGTAGCTGCCTGGCTTTTGTGGTATGGTGTTGGTGATTACAATCATTGATTGCTGTTTCCATACACTAGCATCTGCACAACTCATTTTTGGGAACTATTAGTTAGTTTTATTGACGATCATGATTTATCCTTCTGTTGTTTTATGTTGCACACTTGTGTTGTGTATATCATCCCATCTGCAGGTATTTAAATTTTTTGAAGTCTAAGCTCAAATGTTCTTAAATGTTTTGCCTCTATTTTTTATTGCAACCTCTTCAAGGTATGATGTATACCCCATCCTTGGTACTGGCATTGTTTGTAAGTTTGCTCCTATTTTTTCAGTAAATCTTTGAGAGAGGGTGCAGGCATAAGTGAATACTTGTATAAGAGAATGTTTGTTATAAGCAGTGATACATTAATAATGACATTATTAACTGATGTAACAGTGTATTTGTTGGGGGAGGGGAGTTTGTTGTGTTGTTTATGTTGTTCATTTTGAGAATAAGCATGGCTCTCTTCCTACTGTTTGTGATGTAGTATGATGAGAAATAAATCTGTTGGAAAGTGCTTACAAACTCCATCAAAGGTTTAGTGAAAAATGTGAGTAAACATAAAGACAATAACATCACTACTAAGATTGGCATATGTATCATCTCTTGCAAAGGTTGCAACAAAAAAGTACAAATTCAGAATGTCAAGAAAACTTTAACTAAAACTTCAAGAAGACCTAAATACCTGCAGACATGATCACAATAATGCCTTTTTACAACATAAAACAGCAGAGGGACACATTAAGAAGTTTAATGAAGCCAAGCTAATACAGTGGTACCTCGGGATACCAACTTAATTCATTCCAGAAGGCTGTTCAAGTGCCAATACCGAATGAATTTCTTCTCATAAGGAATAATGTAAATTAAATTAATCAGTTTCAGACCCCCCAAAAATACACTTACAAAAGCACTCACATAAATACACTTATGTAATTGTTCGAGTTTTGAGCTGTTCATATCCCGAGGTACCACTGTACTTCCCAAAAGTGATATATGCAGATGCTAGTGCATGGAGGCAGCAGTGATAGCAATCACTAGCACCTTACCACAAGCAGCTGTAGCATATACAGAACATTGGCCAAATATGTTACTCCACTTTTAACGTAGGCTCACCAGACCTCTTATGCTACGTATATTGCTTGTCCTAGCTTCTCTGTGTCAAGACTGAAGAAGTCACTCATGGCAAAACATACTTGATGTATTTGATATGTATAAGGGAACATGAAACATGTGATTGTTTTTATAAAAAATAATTCAGGATAAAAATAATAATGTTATGTACATTACCATGTTTTATTGTACAGTGCTGTGATAAAAAGAAATTCTTTTAATGAAATACGTACTCATGAAGATTTTATTGTTACAAAAGCATATTTATCAAATGTTTAGAATGTGTTTGATATGTACATTGTGTAAATGTTGTGTACACCACTGTGTTTTATTGTTCTTTACTAAAACAGTACAAAAATCTATAAATCTGCTTTACTCTTGAACATAATAACAACTTAATACTAATGAAAACATTATTTTGGGTACGAGTACAATTACCATACGACCATCACCCTGCCAATAAACCCATAAAAAACATCCAGCAAAGCACCTCAAAGTCTCAGCTTTCAACCATTCACACAGAGTTTTGCTTTTCCCATCATGCACTGCATGGGGCAGGATTTCTTTTATACTGTTCACACTCATTGTGCAGACTCATTCTCTCATATCTAGGCCAAAATTTACCACTCACAGCCTATCTTGAGTGAACTGAGTACATGACGTAGAACTACATCAGTGACCCTGGCATCATTGATGTAGTTCTATGTGATTGCCACTGAAAGGGTTAATGAAATGCCATAACATGCATATTATTTTCCTGTGAACATAATTGTCAGTATATTATACCATTGATGAACATTCAACATCTTGTATTATATCTCCTGCTGTATATGTAGTACACATACAGTGTTTGTTTACTACAGGTATTTTAGTTTTGTGTTTTGTGCTTGCTAGTGTAACTAATTCACCATTTGAAGGTATGAATTCACTCACATCCTTTATTTTATTGCTTCACTGTATCCATTGCCTCTTCAAACATATTCAAAATTAAGGATATTAATTAATAGTACCTTTATTAAAAAATTTACCAACAGGAACTGCGTCGCTTGGAAGCTGAATTCGATGCTCATGTCAGATCAACTGTTGAATCAGTCATGCGAACTCCAGAGCATGATCGTCCTCCAACCCCCTTGCCTGACATTCTTCCAAACCAGATGGAAGATACTTGGATGAATGAATCTCCTCCCACTCCAGTATTAAAGGTTTGTTATAGCCCATATTTAATACTGAAAGATAACTTAAATACAGTGGACCCCCGCATAGCGAACGCCTTGCATAGCGAACAATCCGCATAGCGAACGCTTTGTTCGCTGAAATTTTGCCCCGCATAGTAGACAAAAACCCGCTCAGCGAACTTCGTCCGAGACGCGTCCAATGTGGGCCCTCAGCCAGCCTCACATGTGCCGCCCGTCCCATTGTTTACCAGCTAGCCTCCGCGGTAACATTCAAGCATACACTCGGAATATTTCGTATTATTACAGTGTTTTCGGTGCTGTTTCTGGAAAATAAGTGACCATGGGCCCCAAGAAAGCTTCTAGTGCCAACCTGTGGTAAAAAAGGGTGAGAATTAGTATGGAAATTAAGAAAGATTTTGAAGGGTTTGGGGCTAACCCTGAGAAGCCTATGCCAGTTGTGGAATCCATTGTGCCTACTTCAAAAATTAAGGAAATGTTTTGCACAGTGGGTTGAACTGCAAACCTTTATGGATGAAAATCACCCTGACACAGCTGTTGCAAGCCGTGCTGGTGACTATTTCAATGACAATGTTATGGCCCATTTTAGGAAAGTCTTGAAGGAACGGGAGGTACAGAGCTCTATGGACAGATTTGTTGTGCGACAGAGGTCCAGTGACTCTCAAGCTGGTCCTAGTGGCATTAAAAGAAGAAGGGAAGTAACCCCAGAAAAGGACTTGCTACCTCAAGTCCTAATGGAAGGGGATTCCCCTTCTAAACAGTAAGAAGATAATGCTCTCCCCTCCTCCCATCCCATCAATCATCACCAGATCTTCAATAAAAGTAAGTGTCATGTAATTGTGCATGCCTTTTTCAGTTTGTGTGTACTAAAATTAACATTTTTTTGTGGTAAAAAAATTTTTTTTTCATACTTTTGGGTGTCTTGCACGGATTAATTTTATTTCCATTATTTCTTATGGGGAAAATTAATTCGCATAGCGAACATTTCGCATAACGACCAGCCCTCTTGCACGGATTAAGTTCGCTATGCGGGGGTCCACTGTATTAAGTAAGTGGCTTATAAGATTGCCATATACCCTTAGCCCCTTAAATATCTAAACATAGATCTACGTTCTTAACTCTAGCACTCCAAACCTAGATCAACGTTTTATTTTTCCTGCCTCCAAATTTGGCACGATTGGCCTGAGATGCCTGGTCAGTATAGGATAGGTCTTAATTCTTAGTGTGTGCAGTATTAAAAAAATCTGGGACCACTTAGTACCTTGTGGGAGCACCAATTCAATTGAGTGCCAGCTAGAGCAAACAGCGTGGTAAACACAAGGGATTCACTGATGTCTTGTCATATTAACACTTCCCTTTTAACCCTTTGACTGTTTCAGGCCCCTCTCTGAAACTGTCATTCTATGTCGCTCAATTTTTGAAAAAAAAAAATTATTTTTTCTTATGAAATGATAGAGAATCTTTTCCCGATGGTAATGACACCAAAAGTTCGAAATTTGGTCGAAAACTCATGGAATTATGCTCCCGCGAATTTAGCGGTCTTGGCGACATATGCGTATCGACAATTTCGCCGACTTTGAGCCCTATTTTCAGCCAATTCCATTGTTCCAGTTGACCAAACTCATAGCTATTTCTTTAGAACTCCATTTTATCTATCAGCTGAGTACAAGAAACCTCCCATTTACTAATTTGGACTACCCAATATGGTGGTCAGAAATTGGCAATTTGGCCAATTTCACGCAAACTAAAAAAGATGCCAATTTCAAAATAGGGTCCAGAATAAACAAGGTAGACATTTGTGGCACTAAAATAACATATGCTCTGTTCATTAGTCACATCTCTAGGCCCCTCTTATATTATTATTGCTTTCTATTTTGATTTTTTATTCATACAAAAAAATACAAAATTTACTGTTATGCAGGCTACTGCATTATTGTAAAAATGGTATAAATAACTCAGTGCACTAGTGAAAGAATATTAGACTCCCCAGTTGACGTGTATTGGATGTGTGGTGTGATTTATTTACTCCTGAACATTGGTAAAAATCGAACATTTCCGCTACTTTGAGCTCAGTTTCAAGGTTGTTTTAATCGTCAAAGTAATGAAAATCATCTCTATTTCTGTAATATGTTTTCCATTTTATCACCTAAGACCATGAAAACGCGAATACAACGATAAATACTATACGAAAATACACCTCAAAGTCTGCGTTTTATTCCAAAAAAATGATCGGAGTTTTTTTTTTCTCATTACGCAATGTGTGCTGCAGGATTTTTTTTATGTGGTGCACACTGACCACACAGACCCATTCTCTCACATGTGGGCCTACCAGCTTTCTCCTGCTTGATTTGAAGCCGCTAGGATTATTGAGTACAGTGGACCCCCGCATAACGATGGCATCGCATAGCGATTTTTCCGCATAACGATTACTTTTATCGCAAAATTTTTGCCGCGCATACCGATTAAAAACCCGCATACCGATTTTCGTCCGAGACGCGTCCAATGTGCCCTCAGCCAGCCTCACATGTGCCGCTCCGTCCCATTGTTTACCAGCCAGCCTCCGCGGTAACATCCAAGCATACACTCGGAATATTTCGTATTATTACAGTATTTTCGGTGCTGTTTCTGGAAAATAAGTGACCATGGGCCCCAAGAAAGCTTCTAGTGCCAACCCTGTGGTAAAAAGGGTGAGAATTAGTATGGAAATTAAGAAAGATTTTGAAGGGTTTGGGGCTAACCCTGAGAAGCCTATGCCAGTTGTGGAATCCATTGTGCCTACTTCAAAGATTAAGGAAATGTGTGCACAGTGGGTTGAACTGCAAACCTTTATAGATGAAAATCACCCTGACACAGCTGTTGCAAGCCGTGCTGGTGACTATTTCAATGACAATGTTGTGGCCCATTTTAGACAAATCGTAAAGGAACGGGAGGTACAGAGCTCTATGGACAGATTTGTTGTGCGACAGAGGTCCAGTGACTCTCAAGCTGGTCCTAGTGGCATTAAAAGAAGAAGGGAAGTAACCCCGGAAAAGGACTTGCTACCTCAAGTCGTAATGGAAGGGGATTCCCCCTTCTAACAGTAAGAAGATAATGCTCTCCCCTCCTCCCATCCCATCAATCATCACCAGATCTTCAATAAAAGTAAGTGTCATTTAATTGTGCATGCCTTTTTCAGTTTGTGTGTATTAAAATTAACATTTCATGTGGTAAAAAAAAATTTTTTTCATACTTTTGGGCGTCTTGCACGGATTAATTTGATTTCCATTATTTCTTATGGGGAAAATTCATTCGCATAACGATTATTTCGCATAACGATGAGCCCTCTTGCACGGATTAAAATCGTTAACCGGGGGTCCACTGTATATATACGTCAGAAACACTGGCTAGTAAGACGTATTTATACGTCGAAAACAGTCAAAGGGTTAAGAGGAAAATGATGTTGACCCTGAGTCTAGTGGCTTTGAGATAGATGTGGCCACAAGTGGTTGAGGAAATATCAAAAACCTCAGTAATAACCCATGTACAACATTTGTGTAACATCCTTTCAATTTTGATACCACTGGTAGTGTCATCCTGCCAGAATGTCCTGTAACCTATGCCCTAAATAAAGAGAAAGAATTATAGTAGGTTGGTAGACAGCAACCACCCAGGGAGGTACTATTGTCCTGCCATGTGAGTGTAAAACGAAAGCTTGTTATTGTTTTACATAATGGTAGGATTGCTGTTGTCGTTTTTGTCTCATAACCGTGCAAGATTTCAGGTATATCTTGCTACTTGTACTACACATACATGTACACGTTATGTATGAAGTGAAACAAGGCTGAAGTGGGTGGGAGAGTTTTAGTGGGGAGAAATAAATGGGATTAGGTCAGGGGTTTCAAATGGAGCTAGAGCTAAAGAAGGAGTAGCAATAATATTTAAGGATAAGTTATGGCAGGAAAAGAAGCAATATAAATGAATAAATTCAAGGATTATGTGGAGTAAAATAAGGGTTGATGTGAAAAGTGGGTTATAGTAAGCATTTATGCACCTGGAGAAGAGAAATGTAGAGGAGAGAAAGTGGTTTTGGGAAATGTTTAGTGAGTGCGTGGGGAGTTTTGAACCATGTGTGAGAGTACTTGTGGTTGGGGATTTCAATGCTAAAGTGGGTAAAACTGTTGTGGAGGGAGTAGTAGGTAAATTTGGGGTGCCAGGGGTAAATGAAAATGGGGCACCTTTAATTGAGCTGTGTGTAGAAAGAGGTTTGGTAATAAGTAATACATATTTTATGAAAAAGAGGATAAATAAGTTTACAAGGTATGATATAGCACATAATGACAGTAGTTTGTTAGATTATGTATTGGTGGATAAAAAGTTGTTGGGTACGCTTCAGGATGTACTTGTTTATATTTTTTTTTTATTTTTTTATTATCACACCGGCCGATTCCCACCAAGGCAGGGTGGCCCGAAAAAGAAAAACTTTCACCATCATTCACTCCATCACTGTCTTGCCAGAAGGGTGCTTTACACTACAGTTTTTAAACTGCAACATTAACACCCCTCCTTCAGAGTGCAGGCACTGTACTTCCCATCTCCAGGACTCAAGTCCGGCCTGCCGGTTTCCCTGAATCCCTTCATAAATGTTACTTTGCTCACACTCCAACAGCACGTCAAGTATTAAAAACCATTTGTCTCCATTCACTCCTATCAAACACGCTCACGCATGCCTGCTGGAAGTCCAAGCCCCTCACACACAAAACCTCCTTTACCCCTCCCTCCAAACCCTTCCTAGGCCGACCCCTACCCAGCCTTCCTTCCACTACAGACTGATACACTCTTGAAGTCATTCTGTTTCGCTCCATTCTCTCTACATGTCCGAACCACCTCAACAACCCTTCCTCAGCCCTCTGGACAACAGTTTTGGTAATCCCGCACCTCCTCCTAACTTCCAAACTACGAATTCTCTGCATTATATTCACACCACACATTGCCCTCAGACATGACATCTCCACTGCCTCCAGCCTTCTCCT